CACCTGGAGCAAACTAGAGAAAAAATTATCCCACGCCAAGGTTCAAAATATGCCTTTTGAATTACCCCAGGGTGTATTCTTTAACCCCTTAAGGACCGAGGACGGTTCAGGACCGTCATCGGCATTTTTGCCTTGCCGACCGATGACGGTCCTGAACCGTCCTAACGGTCTGGGGTTACTTACCTGATCGCCGTCGTTCCCCCGGCGGCGATCAGTGTTCCTCCGGTTGTGGGGAGACTGCCTGCAGCCCAGACAGTCTCCCCACGGCAGATTAGGACCCCTGTGGCCATGTGATCGCTTAACACAGCGATCACATGGTCACAATAGGTGTCCATGTGTCTGCCTGCAGGGGGACTGTCTGTGCTGACAGGCAGTCTCCCTGCTTGTGTAAAATCAAAAAAAAAAAAAAAAAAGTTAGTGTTAATTAAATTAAATAATTATATATGTGTATATATGATATATAGACATATATTATATCTATATAATATGTCTATATATCATATATATATATATATATATAATGCCATACTAAGTGTATTTTTATATTAATATGTACTTACATTAATATAAAAATACACTTATAATTAAATTACACACGTATATATATAATATATATAATAACTATATATATTGTATATATATATTATTATAAAATATAAATAAGTAATTTAAATTAAATAAAACATTTTTAAAATAATAATAAAAAATTTAAAAAAAATTATATAGCTATATGAAATTTTATTCTAACTGTATTTTAAAATTAATATATATATATTTATATCAAAATACACTTAGAATTAATTTGTATATATATCTATGTATATAAAAATAAATAAAAATAATAAGAAATATACATACGTCCATATACAAAATTACATAAATAATTATATAAATATACACGTAGACTTCAAATATAGAAATATGCATATATATTTAAATTCTACGTGCGTATTTATGTAATATTTTTACATAATTCAGTAATTTTATTGATTGCAATTTGAGGGACCTGCCTGCCAACCCAGGCCGAAATTCCAGAGAATTTAATTTGCTAGCACTGTATTTTACCCTGTAACGTTCTACGACACCCTAAAACCTGTACATGGGGGGTACTGTTTTACTCGGGAGACTTCGCTGAACACAAATATTAGTGATTCACAACAGTAAAACATATCACAGCGATGATATTGTCAGTGAAAGTTACTTTTTTTGCATTTTTTACACACAAACAGCACTTTTACTGATGATATAATTGTTGTGATACGTTTTCCAGTTTTTAAACACTAATATTTGTGTTCAGCGATGTCTCCCGAGTAAAACAGTACCCCCCATGTACAGGTTTTATAGCATTTTGAAAGTTACAAGGTCAAATATATGGGTCAAATATTTTTACATTGAAAATGGCCAGGTTGGTTACGTTGCCTTTGAGAGCGTATGGTAGCCCAGGAATGAGAATTACCCCCATGATGGCATACCATTTGCAAAAGAAGACAACCCAAGGTATTGCAAATGGGGTATGTCCAGTCTTTTTTAGTAACCACTTGGTCACAAACACTGGCCAAATTAAGCGTTCAATTTAGTTTTTTACTTTTTCACACACACAAATATAGATACTTACTTTGGCCCAGTGTTTTCATTATAAAGATGCTACTAAAAGACTGGACATACCCCATAATGAGGAATACCCTGGGTTGTCTACTTTAAAAAAATATGTACATGTGGGGTGTTATTCAGAGATTTATGACAGATAATAGTGTTACAATGTCACTATTGATAAATTTTAAAAATGTATGTTTTGAAACACGCAATATCCTACTTGTACCTAGCCCTATAACATGCAAAAAAAAAGCAAAAAAGCACGTAAACACTAGGTATTTTTAAACTCAGGACAAAATTTTGAATCTATTTAGCAGTTTTTTCATTCGCTTTTGTAGATGAGTAAAAGATTTTTCAAGTAAAAGTCAAAAAACATTAATTTTTTTCAATTTTTCATCAGATTTTTCTATTTTTTTAAAATTAAAATACATGAGATTATATAAATAATGGTATGTAAAGAAAGCCCCTTTTTGTCCTGAAAAAAACAATATATAATTTGTATGGGAACAGTGAATGAGAAAGCGGAAAATTACAGCCAAACACAAACACCACAAAAGTGTAAAAATATTCCTGGTCGCAAATGTACAACATCGCAAAAACAGTCCAGTCCTTAAGGGGTTAATAAATAGTATGTGTTTGTGGGGAAGTTTCAATAACCAACCGTCTAAACTACTCCAAATTGGAACATGGACACAGCGTAAAACTTCAAAGTTAGAAAAAACTGAATGGCTGCGTCTCAAATGCGCCCCTTCAACATCCACATATACCTGGCAAAGGTACATACGGGGGTATTGCTGTACTCAGCGACATAGCTGAACAACATATGAAGTAGTATACAGTCGTAGTACACATAAGGTTTGCAAAATATACTGCACAAACTCACTTTGTGTGTCAAAAAGGCAGAAAAAATGCTTATTACCACTACACTTGGTACAAGCTAGCGGAAAAATGATCCCACGCTGAGGTTCAAAATATGCCTTTTTGAAATACCCTGGGATATCTTCTTTAAGAAATGGTATGGCTTTATGGGGAATTTGGATTATATAGCCTGGTAAAATACTCTAAAATGGGACATAAGCACAGCATAAAAATTCAAAGTTTGAAAAAAACTGGAATGGCTGTGTCCCAAATGTGCCCCTCCGATGTCCACACATACCTGGCAAAGGTACATACGGGGTATTGCTGTACTCAGCCGACATAGCTGAGCAACATATGAAGTATTATACAGTCGTAGCACACATAAGGTTTGCAAAATATACTGTGCAAACTCACTTTGTATGTCAAAAAGGCAGAAAAAGCGCTTATTACCACTACATCTGGTACAAGCTAGCGGAAAAATGATCCCACGCTAAGGTTCAAACTATACCTTTTGAAACACCCTGGGGTGTCTACTTTAAGAAATGGTAGGCCTTTGTGGGGTAGTTTGAATTTAAAACCTGCGAAGATGCTTGGAAATTGCACATAGGCCCAGCGTCAAAATTCAAAGTTTGGTAAAAGCGGATATGGCTTGGTCTCCTATATGGCACTGTAGCTTCACAAAATAGTGACAAAGACATTCATTGGGGGTGTATTTTTACTCAAAAGACTTAGCTGAGCATAATTTGGGAGGTTTGAACTTGGTGGCACATATGAAATATACAAAACGCCCAGCAAAAATGCAATCCGTATGTAAAAAATGCACAAAATTATTTTTTACCACATACTTTGGCATATATTGGTGAAAAAATGGGGGCATGTTAATGCACAATATGCACCTTATAAGATACCCTGGAGTGTCTACTTTTACAAATGGTAGGCCTTTGTGGGGTTTTTTTGAACAGTCAAACTGTTATAATACCCAAAATGGAAGCTAAGGCTCATTAAATTCATCTCTCAAAATTCTACTGTGAATACTGAAAAGGACAGGTATCCTGTATGGCACTGTAACTTCACGAAATAGTGCAAAAGACATACAATGGGGGTGTCATTTTACTCAACAGATGTAACTGAACACAAAATAAAACTTTGTACAGGAATAGCACACACCAACTTTACAAAATATACACGAGAATTTCTCTGTTATAAGTTTGTGTGCCAAAAACCAAAAAGAACACAATTTTACTCCAATATTTAGCAGAGGTTGGCGGTGAAATGGCTACGTAGAAAGTGTCAAAACAACCTTGGGTAAATAGCCCGTGATGTCTACTTTATATAAATATATACTTTTGTGTGGCAATTTTGTTTTCTTTTATAGCTATTAAGCTTACAAGACAAACATACCAAATTCTAAAATCGCTCCACATTAAAAGTTTATTTTACTCCTTGTGCTTTGTGACCTGTAACTACCAAAAAAAAACTTAAAATCCCAGACACATTATATATTCTGTAAATCAGAACAAATAAATAAATTTATTTTTAATTACTTTCCTTAACCTGCACTAATTATGCACACATTATTATTGCAAAAACTGTAAAAAAACAAAACAATATTTTTCATTTTTTTTGCATTTTTCTGTATTTTTTTTATAATAAGTAAGCATTTATATATATATATATATATATATATATATATATATATATATATGTTATATCAAATTAAAGCCCTTTCTGTCCTTTAAAAACAGTATATAATATGTGTCGGTGCAATAAATGAGAGAGATGCAAATTGCAGTTGAACGCAAACAGCAAGAAAATGCAAAAATTGCTTGTGTCATTAAGCGTAAGTCAAGCTTCTGAAGCTGTGTCCTTAAGGGGTTAAATAATTGTGAAAATACTTATAGTATAGTATATTTCTAATCTTGTATTCTTTATTTTGATTACCATCCTAGGTCCTGCTTGGTCAGTTGATGAAACAGCTGTGTAAAAACAGCATCCTAAACAAAGTGATCTTAGAAAAGCACTTCTAGGTGCCTGGTAACTGATTGCCATCATATTTTGGAATTTTATTTTCTTTCTTTGACAATTGGATTTAATTTGCAACATGAAGAGGCGCAAATGAAGTTTCAACCACATGAACATGCCATTTGCAGTTTTTTATTTTTCTTTTTTTTTTCTTTTTGACCAAATATCGGATTCCAACTGTTATAGTGAACATGACATTTTCTTCTACTGCTTTGATTCTTAATTTATGGGATTATGATTCATTATACAGACAGCAGAGAGAATCAGTAGTGTAAAGCGGTACAAGTCATCAAACTAACTTTTGACAGGTGCCCCGCCCCCTTTTAATGAAACCACGCCCCTTGCGCAATATGACAGGCGCCCCGCCCCTTTTAATGAAACCACTCCTGTTGCGCAATAGGTCTCCGCCCCCTGTGTGGTGATGGTTGCCCAGCCCTTTCATGAAACCACGCCCCTTGTGTAATAGGGCCCCACCCATTGCGCGTTGATGGGTGTCCGCCCCTTTTTTTATGAAACCACACCCAATACGGCATGTAATAGATACGCCCCTTTACAATGTTCATAGAGTCTGCCACCATGTGATTGTATGAGGCACTACATTCTATGGTTGGATGTTTATTTATTTTTCATTTCATTTCATATTACTGAATAAAGAGGACAAGTCTGGACATGTTTTGGAAGATGTGTCTGGGGCCAGTTTTGAAAGTAGAGAACAAACCCAGAGGGCAAGTTTATATACATCTGAGAAATAAATAAATGCCAAAGTAACTCATATAACGATATTTATTAGACAAAAAAAAAAAAAAGCCGATACACTATTCACAGGAAAAGCAACAATACAATAGTCACAGGCAAAAGGGGTAATACAATGTATGAAGGAAAAGCAATAATCATCACATGTTTTAGACAGAAATGCAATGAATAAACATCACAAATTCAACCAATCAGCAGGCTGCTTTAGTATACGGGGGCGCTTCTTAGGTAGCAAATAGCCGTGAGATGTAGTTAATCCCGGGGTGCTAAAAGAAATATTTGGTAACGATTGTCTCTTTTGAAAATGGGGTGTTATGTCCCGAGTCTCGCTTGGAAGGATCCGCAATTTCAATTGTTCCAAATAGTCTCTATTTGATGTGTTGCCCACAACGGTAGACGGTACGTTCAGGTCAGCCATAGCCTGAAGAAAAGTATCCCAGCCCAGAGGTAATTTACGTACCGTAACATTGTGACTCTGGGTAACACTACGTACCAAATCGAGTATATTTGATCCCGGTACAACAGTGTTTTTATAAACAAATTCACCCTTATCATTCCAAGCGGTAATGTGCTTAAATTGAGACGTTCTACTCAACAATCAGTTTTGAAAGTAGAGAACAAACCCATAATAGCCCCAAAAAAATAATTTCATTTAGAGGATGGATATTACTGAATAAAGGGGAACAGTTCTGGACATGTTTTTTGGATGATGTGTCTGGGACCTGTTTTGAAAGTAGAAAACAAACCCAGAGGGCAAGTTTATATAAATCTGTGAAATAAATAAATACCAAATTAAGTCATATAGCAATGTTTATTAGACACGTATGGCAATGCAATTAGATCTAAAACCAATAGTGCTTAGATGAGCAATGACAGACAGATGGCATCTACAACCAAGACAGGATGACAGCCGTAACAAAATCAACAATTGAAATGTTTTCCTTAAACACAGGGTACAGTATGATTGTTGACAGCCAGCTGGCATTTACAGTCTAGGCTCTCAGGGTGACAGCTGTAACAAGATAAACAGGTGAATAGTATTCTTTAATCATGATGCCAAACAGCATTAATAAATCAGTATTAAAATCCATATATTACACACCAAGAGAAGCAGGTAGCTACGGTGATATTGATAAATTATATAACTCAATTAAAAAACATAACATAAAAAGAACAGTTGTTAAAGAATGGCTGACAGAACAGGACGCTTACACGTTACACAGGCCAGCAAGGCGACGATTTGAGCGCAATAAGATTTGCGTCTCTAATATTGACGAACAATGGCAAGCTGATCTTGTGTCAATGATTGACTTTGCTAAGCAAAATGATGGTATAAAATATATACTGACCGTCATAGATGTGCTGTCAAAATATGCCTGGGCTGTGGCTTTGAAGAATAAATCAGGAAAAACCGTTGCTGATGCTTTTCAGAATATATTTGCAACGGGTCGTGTACCTCAAAAGTTGCAAACGGACAAAGGCAAAGAATTCCTTAACAAGAGTGTAAAAGCAGTCTTTAAAAAATGTGAGATTATACACTTTATAACAAATAATATGGTGAAGGCCGCTATTGTGGAGCGTTTTAACAGAACATTAAAAACTAAAATGTGGCGCTATTTTACTGCGCGCAATACGTTCCGCTATGTGGATATTCTGGCTGATCTGATATATAGCTGCAACCACACAGTACACAGAACAATCCGGTGCGCTCCTGCAGCGGTGACGCATGAAAACACACTCAGTGTGGAAAAACATTTACGGGGAGTATTTCAATCGTAAAAGGATTAAACCAGCGCTGAAAATCGGAGACCAAGTCAGGATATCAAAGTATAAAGACATTTTCAGTAAAGGGTATGAGCAGACCTTCACTGATGAAATATTTGTAGTGGACTCAATAAATACCAGAGGTATAAAACCCCTCTTTACGTTAAAAGATTGTAACGACGAACTAATTGAGGGATCATTCTACGCTGAAGAAATACAGAAAATACCTCCAAATTACAAACGTGTTTACAGAATTGAAAAAGTTTTAAGACAGAAAATCGACAAAGGTAAAACATTGTACTACGTCAAATGGTTAGGTTACCCAGCGGCATTCAATAGCTGGATTGACAAAAAGCAGTTAACCGCCCTTTAAACAACAACACAACTATGGAGGACACAGCATTTTATGTAACGCTGCCTAGTAACGCTTCGCACGGAATATACCCTCAAAACGAAATATCCAATTATACGACAAAACTATCCAAGCCGATTATCTTCCGATTATCCTCCGATTATCTACAGAAATACAATATCCACACACATGGAATACTTTGCCTCTGATGGTTTAATATATGTAGGGTTACCAGGCGGACCTACGAAACGGCTTAGTGTAAAATCAGGATATTATAATGCTATTGAAGATCTGGTGTCGGGTATTAATGAACGGATTGAAAGTTACAAATTTCCTCCGATGGATATAAAGCTAGAATATGATTCGCTAGAGAGAAAGGTATCTATCAACGGTACGCATACGTTTATTGCCAGCGACAGATTGACGCACATTCTTGGTATTGATTATAATCACGAGAGGCCAAACGTCACAGGCAGAATGTGTGCGGATATAAAAGACAGCTTTTACACCTTATTCGTTTATACAGACATAATAGAACATCAGCGTGTAGGCGACAGTTTTGTACCGCTGTTACGTACAGTAGAAATTACCGGCAGTAACAACGAAATTATTACCCAGCGGTACATCAAACCTGACTACATACCAGTCAGTAAATACCATTTTGACAACATCACAATAGAGATAAAGAACGATCAGAACAGAAACGTTTCATTCAAATACGGGAAGGCTTTCATTAAGCTACACTTTCGACCCCGGCGTGGAAGCTTTTATTAAAGAAAAAATGGTTGTGGTTAAAACCTATGCAGAACCACATGTTTACAGCGCTTATTATAAGTCACAAGCAGGTCAGGGACTGACGGGATTTCATGGTAGTACATATATGTACGGTCGCGGTTTAGGGGGAATATTTAGAAGCTTATTCCGGAGAGCCGTGCCTTTGTTCAGACGTGGTTTAGAATTGGTGAAACCACATGTAAAAACAGCGGCTAGGAACATTGCAAAGGACGTTGTCGGTAGAGTTTCAATGGCAGCGATGAATAAAATAGTAGGAGAACCCCAGGACGGCACAGGTTTAGTATACATAGGTAGAAATACCCCTAAAAGGAAACGGAAACGACCGGGAGTATTTCCTGCATGTATGCCGTACACATACAACAAAAAGGCTTGTCCTCCTGCTAGAAAGAAGAGAAGAGTATCACGAAGGAACGCAAACAACATATTTTGAACAGCTGTCATGTCGTTTATCCATTCAGCATCCGTAGAATGCGCCAAATCAGAACTGGATCTTTTTGAAATAAAACCTACTCAGACCAGCATTGAAAAAAGTCTGTATGTGGAAGTACAACCGTTGGCAGCCATTTCGGAAACTTCACCGCTCGAGTTCTACATAGCAGGCAGCGGTGAACATTATTTCGATTTGAATAACACACTGTTGTACATTACGTGTAAAATTTGTTAAAAAGAACAATACGCCGATTGCAGAAGGCGCACGAGTGAGTCTAATCAATTACCCGATAGCGACACTATTTAATCAGCTAGATGTTACACTCGGGGACAGACTGATATCACAATCCAATAATCTCTACGCTTACCGAGCCTACATTGAAACACTTCTCAATTACAGCGCCGATGCTTTATCAACTCAGTTTACTGCCGGATTATTTTACAAGGATACTGCGGGAAAACATCAAGACCGCGTTTTGGACGGTGACAACAAAGGCTTTACAAAGCGTGCACATATGACAGCGCGCAGTAAGACTGTTGAATTACTTGGGCATCTACATAGCGATCTATTTTTTCAGGAGAAACTGATACTGAACGGTATGGATTTGAAAATAAAACTTACCAGAAATAAAGACACATTTTGTTTAATGTCCGCAGACCCCGAGCCATTTAAACTTCAAATTATAAATGCGTCTCTGTTTGTTAAAAGAGTCCAGATATCACCGGCCGTGCGAATAGGTCATGCGCAAGGACTTCTAACCGGCAACGCTAAATATGCCATAGAGCACGCTAGTATGAAAGTATTCAGCGTGCCCACCGGTAGTCGTGTTTGCAATCAGGAAAATATATTCTTGGGACAGATCCCTAAGATGGTCATTTTAGCGTTTGTCGACAATGAAGCTTTTTCAGGCGCTTACGACAGAAATCCCTTGTGTTTCAAACACCACAATGTAAATTTTGCGGCTCTCTATCTAGATGGTGAACAAATACCTGCAAAGCCGTTTCAGCCTGATTTTGAACATTCTAACGCAGTGCGTGAATATGTCATTTTTATTATTGGCACAGAAGAACTGCGGTGATTCTGGAATTATAATTAACAGAGTAGAATTTGTGGACGGATATACATTATTCGCTTTTGATCTATCGCCTGATCAGGAATGCAGTAGTCATTTTTCACTCATACGTAGCGGTAACTTAAGGGCGGAAATACGCTTTTCGAGGGCCCTGGAACGCACTGTAAATCTGATAGTCTATGGACTGTTTGAAAACGTTATTGAAATTAATCAAAGACGGGAGGTTCTTTATGATTTTCTCTAAAACCTAACCATGAACACCTTAGAAATAACGCATATTTTACGTACCGACCCATATTCCACAGGTATATTTGTTGGCGTGTTTCCGTGTGATTTACTACCCACCTCTAAACTGGACAGCGTACCAGCGGCATTCATTATCAATACAGATCCACATACATTATCCGGGGAGCACTGGTTGGCTGTTTATATTGATAAGAGACAGGGATATTTTTTTGATTCGTACGGACTAGCACCGACAAGCGAAATATTCCCTAAAGAAATACTGATTTTTTTAAAAAGAAATGCTAAACAGATATACTTTCAAAATGTTCAGTTACAAAGCACTCTGTCTACAGTATGTGGTGAATTCTGTATTTTTATTATTCATCATATGTGCAAAGGGGTTGCTTTTAAAGAGCTTTTAAGCCATTTCACAAGTGAATTAAAACAAAATGTGCAGAGATGTACCACGTGTTATCGTCATTGATATGTAATGATTTATTTTACTCTCAATAAAATCAGTTTTGTCTATTGCAATGAGTATGGCTATTTTTACTACTGATGACCCTCATGCACCTGTCTGACCACATCACACAATGACCCTCATGCACCTGTCTGACCACATCACACAATGACCATCATACACCTGCCTGAACCCATCACGCAAACACCAACAAAAAAAAAAGAAAAAAAAAAACATTACAAAAAAAAAAAGGTATAAAAAGACCAGTCTCAAGACTAGGGGTCATAAGACAGCTCCTGGATACAACTACATAATGAATACCCAAGACACAGATATGGTAAGTAATTCTAAATCATGCTTTTATATTTAAAATTTTATGTTTTTTACAATATAAATGTCTATGGGGTTGTTTTATTTCAAACTGTCAGGGTCTGTAGTATAGACTGTATGCCGTCTGTATTTGTTTTTATTTTTAACAACGTAAGGGTCTATTATATAGAGTCTGCACTGCTTGTTTCCGTCTCTGTGTGTTCTAAAACGTTACGTACTGAACATAGTCATGTTTTTAATGTAGGCAAAATCCTTCTCTAGGCATTTGCGGGGCTTGTCTGTGTATGAATATATGTGCTATGCTGGGTTTATATGTTGTATATATGTGTTATGCTGTGCTTATCCGTGTATGTTATAGCATAACGTTTTTAAAATAAGCTGTGATGATACAGCATCAATGGGGTTGTTTTATTTCTAACTGTCAGGGTCGGTAGTATAGACTGTGTGCCGTATGTTTTGGTTTTTATTTTTAACAACGTAAGGGTCTATTATATAGAGTCTGCATTGTTTGTTTCTGTGTGTCTGTGTTCTAAAACGTTACGTTCTGAACATAGTCATGTTTTTAATGTATGCAAACTTCTTCTCTATGCATTTGTGGCTCTTATCCGTGTATGTTGTTTAATATATGTGTTATGCTGGGCTTATATATGTTGTATATATGCGTTATGCTGAGCTTATCCTCGCATGTTATGGCATTACCTTTTTAAAATAAGCTGTGATGCTACAGCATCACCCATATCACTGTGGCCGTTAGACATCTCACTGTGTCTGTTTTGTCAAACAAACTGGAACATCTAGGAAACTCCCCTTTCACTTCTACACAGTTCTGTCTGTGACAGGCCTTACAAAAATACCGGCAGGAAAGTTCCCTTCATAAGCGTTCAAATACTTTATCACCTTTCAGGCACAAATCAGTCCAACAACGAATGAAAACGAGTTACACAGAAGGCTCGCGGTCGCCTCACAAGGTTGTAAATTTTCTATATTGATAAGCGTTCTAAAATTCTAAACATTTATTTTGAAGTCTTTTATGCATAAAAAACAAACCAAAAAAAACTAAGGCTTATTGTATTTTATTTATTTAGATCCTTTGAATACTAGAGTATTGACTGACAGACCCTCCAACATACATCCACATAGACCATTAAAAGCAGGTATGTGTTTATATAACGTTATATGCGGTTGTATCATCCCCGGTTTTATCCCTGCGATAATTATATTTCTATTTATTTTAGAAACAACCGTAAAGAGTACAAAAACCTCAGCAGTATCTAATGCATGCACAGACATTAGCCGCTTACCAGCTGCGGATCACGGTCGTAAGACATACAGCGCGAATGCCGGAGAACGCAGGGACTGCACCCCGCATAAACTAAAACAGGGCAAGTATACGTATGAGTTCTTTGTTTATTTGTATATTTGTATACTACATAAATATAGTATATTTATTTGTATCTTTATTTACTACATAGATATACCTGTATGTACATCGGTGTATTAATTTACTCATTTATTTTTGAATACAGTACCAAAGTTGTCTATAACCCGGAGCCGCTCTACAAGAGATATTCCAGTCACACGTGACGATGAACAACCGTCAACGTCGACCTCAGGGGTTTTAAGGCAGCGTCCATCTAGTGCGGCATGCGTCGCAAAGGAGCCTCAGCAAATACATTCATTAACCACAACAAAACACACATCTCGGGGTAAGCCATCAGTCACATCACCAGGCAATGTATCAGGGTGTCGACATTTCACTGTAGCATCAAATGTACCTGTGAAACAATCCATTAGCCCTGTAAATGTTCCTATACAACCAAACCCTAAGAAAAGTAGATCTGTTTTACAGGACATAACACAAACCATCGGCAATGATAACAATATACATAGAGGGACTACATCACTGACATCCAGAAATACCTCTGTAAAGGTGCCGACACACCCGCCACCTAAGAAAAGTAGATATGTTTTACAGACCATAACACATACTGACAGCAAAAACACACACATTTATACAGAAACCACATCACCTCTTGATACTAGAAAATGTATGTTGTGGTTCACGCGTTCTGCTCCTTTATGGTTTAAAGTCAAGGATGCTGTACAACATACAATCACTGAAATATTCAAAATACTGAATGACGCTGCTCTTTTACAGTGCAGCAGGCCTCTGAGTCTAAAACTTTATGCAGCTAGACGCCCATTTAGAATTGGCCATGCATTGTTATCCCATGATGGTCGTGATAGTCAATTGAGTATAAACGGTGTTATACCAAACATTATATTACCCCGTGACAACGTCAGTGATTTATTACAGTGGTTTTTAAGGGAACTTGGTTTTTGGTTCGCTTTAGGAGACTTTATTGACTCTGTGATTAGTGAGATCCGTAACATTGTTATTGTGACTGATGATGAGCTTAGACAAACTAATTTTTTAAACCGTTTTGAAAGACTTGACCGTGCTACCAATGCCTTTCGTTCAGGACTAAATTTACTGACCCCCGCGTGACTAGTCATGGTTGGACGGGGTTTATTATCTCAATCCAAAAAATGGGACAGACAGAGACTTGTAGCTAAGCGTCGAGCTAGAACCGTTAAACGTGCCATAAATACATTGCGAGGTGCATTACGTTCTGCGATGTCTAGACAACGCCGTAAGACCCCTTGTGATGCAATCAAATGCTTAACACCTGTGCTGCTTCCGGCTGAGGATGGCGTAGACGCTACAGTTACCCCTGTGACACCCCACACAAATGATACTGAAATAGCCCCAACACCTACAGAACTTTCCACAGAGACGCAACAAAGTCCATTTAGTCCTGAGAATATTAACGATTCGCAGGAACATCCCGAAGTGCAGAACCCTGTTAATGAGTTAGAGGCCCCTGTATTTTTGGAGCGTGTTGAACAACGCCGCAGAGATATTAACAATTTTAATGCCGTAGAATATTATGAACATTTTCGGTTTGTAAATTTAGACAGAATAACATCGTTTTCAGACGCACTCCAGTCTGTACATGATGCTATTCAAGAGCTTTTAAACAGGATGATGCCTGATATAGGTCCCAGCGATTTTGTTCAATTAAGGCTAGATAGCGATGATCTTGGCAGACCGTTACACTCTATTAGACATTGTAGGGATGAATTGAATGCTGAAACCTTTTTAAACGCAGTGTCAAACCTGGTACAGAGCAATGCTGAAATTATTGGCAGCGGGTCTTTAAGGTTGGTTGTAATCATTGTTAGGAATAGAGTCGGTGGTGTAATGCATCGTAGGCGTCTCCGGTCAACACCCTATAGTTGTATCATTGCCAGGAAAAAGAGATGGCTTTATGATTTAAACAATGATAATAATAACCTGTGTCTAGCGGCTAGCATTTGTGCCCTTGTGGCTCAGGATAATCCTGTAGACTCTCTGTTGTTGGAGAGAGCCAGAGAAATACATAAAGCTGTAGGTATCCCTGATGATCGTCTGGTTAGTTTTAGCGACATCCCAGCTTTTGAACAACATTTAGGCATTACAATTAAAGTACTGTATCACAATCATGGTTCGTGGCACTATTTTCATTCAGACAAGCCCTGTAAAGATAAAGTTGTGTTTATATACCATGAAGACAAACATTATTATGGCATTAAAAAAATTAATGCGTTCATTGGGGAATCATACTTCTGTAATTACTGTCACACACCATTCTCTCACAAAAACAATCATTCCTGCCGGTATTTTTGTAAGGCCTGTCACAGACAGAACTGTGTAGAAGTGAAAGGGGAGTTTCCTAGATGTTCCAGTTGTCGTACTTTTTGTCGTTCACAAGAGTGCTTAAAGTTGCACATAGAGCTCTCCGTATCCGGAGACATAGAGTGCAGGCAGAAAGCTTATTGTGATTCTTGCGGCCGTTACACCGTAATGGCCGATCATAAGTGTAAAGGTTTCCAATGTCAGATTTGCTATGCCACTGTAGTCACGCTTGATGGGCATGTTTGTTATATGAGAAGATACACCCCAGAAAACCCTACTAACAAATACATTTTTTATGACTTTGAATGTATGCAGGAGACCGGTGTACATATCCCCAACTATATCTATGCTTCAGAATTAGAAGGGGATAAGTGCTGGGAGTTTCAGGGTACAGCGTGCCTAGAGGAGTTTATAATAACATTTATAAACAAGCCCTTTAGTAGCTACACATTCATAGCGCATAATGCAGGCAGGTATGATTCTTACTTTGTGGTGAATCAACTTCTTAAGGAGAAAATTGCTATTGAGTTGTTGGCGCAAGGTGGTAAACTACTTTGTGTGACTGTCGCTGATCTAGGTATCAGATTTATCGATTCTTTAAATTTTCTCCCCATGAAACTAAGTCAATTGCCAAAGGCCCTGGGTTTCGTCGGTTGTAAAGGCTATTTTCCACACTTTTTTAACACAGCCCAGAATCAGTCTTATATTGGCCCTATGCCTTTGGTAGACTATTATGGTTATGACCAAATGATGTGTGATGATAAAAAGGAGTTTATGGTCTGGTATCAAGAGAACCAACATTGTCAGTTCAATTTTCAAAATGAACTTAAAAAATACTGTATAGATGATGTTAAAATCTTGAAACAGGCCTGTGTCTGCTACAGAGAAAGTGTGATGGAGATGACCAAGAAGGTAAAAACTATTGT